TTATCTGATAATTCAAATCAAAAATTAATTTTGGAAGAAAGCAAATTTAGAATTTGTTTGTACATGTATTTCGATATGCTATGCAAGGACAAGCAAGACAATAGTCCAATACAAATCGATTAAACGAAGAAACTTTCAATTTTCTGTTAATAAAAGCTAGAATCGGTAATACCAAAAAAAGCAGCAACAACAATACTTATGCATATATCATACTTTTATTGTTTTTTATTTCGTAATTCGTGAAGTTAAAAATTAAACAATAGATGGTTTGTTTGGTTTCTTGCGCGAATAAAAATATACATGTGCGTAATGGGTGGGTAACACATGTACATGTAATTATGTATAATACTGATATTCTGTATATACAATATAAGATAATGACTAGAATATTATCGTTATACATGTACATGCATTAATTTATTAATTTACAATGATTTTCCTTAATACGTGTACTTGGTGGGTGGCATTCGTTTTCCTAATTAATCAAGGCTCAATCCCATCCACCCACTCCAAAACCTCCTGCTCAATCAATCGATCCTCAATTTCCTGTTCCATCTGTCGCATCTGTCGCTCGTAATGCATAATCATGGAAATTCGATGCCGCTTATGCGAGTTCATTTCGAAATTCGAAATAAGCTCTTCAGTATCATATTGAAACGATTTTTTCCATTCATCAATTGGAACGTATGAATGATAACTATCATTATTGTTGTTATTGATTTCTTTGTTATTTGAGGTGATGAATGCGTTATTTAGTTCTTTAGACAATTGTTGATTGAATGGACGTGATGTAATGGATTCGTCTTCAATTGTATGTAAACTTTCATCATCAATTGTAGAAATGCTGTCGGAATAATAATCTCTGCACGCAAAATTGGTTTCATAATACTGTTGCTGATGTGTTAAATGTTCCGTAGAAACTGATTCCTCCTCATAATAGACCCCGTCAAAATTTTCAAAATGTAAAGTATTAGGATCAATCAGAGACTCATTTTCGGAAACCTTCTTATTATTTCGCTCTCCAATATTTAGATATTCTAATAATATTTGGGCACGTGTTAAGTCATCAGTAAGGAAATCATTTTTTGTGTTTGAAAAAAGAGTATCGGTGTCTGTTTTGCTAAAATTGGAGTCAAGGCATGAAGAGAATTGCGCTGTCATTAACATATCGTTTTTGTTTGTTAATATTTTTGAATTTTTAAATGCCATTTTAGTTTAATATGAAAAAGGAATTCGTTATTACGTTATTTGCAAAGAAAAAAACGAATTGGGAAATTTGATCTTTATGAACGAACGTACGTACACGAGTCAAATACGAAAAGGAATTGGTGAAAACAGTTTTAGACTGCAATGCGGTTTATATAACTGCAAAACAATTAGACCTTTTATTCCATTTCTTTCTATTGTTTTGTATAATAATGCTTTATGGGTGCTAATCTTAAATTTCTTTGCCAAACGTTCTGCGGCATACACTCACACGCCTATACATTAGAAATCAAATAAATTAAAATATACATACTCTCATTTTTGACATTCTGCACGAATGTATGTACAATTATTTTGTATGTGCACTTATTTACGCGTGTGATAGAAAATCCCCCGAGTTATGATTATATTCATTTATCAAATTCATCTATTATTCAAAAATTGAATGATAAAGTATGTAAATATACCACATAATTAATAGTGCGTGGCTTTGTACGTTATTGAGATTTCCGAATATTTTTATGACGTGCGTGACCCGAGTTAATAACAACAAATTGGTACGATTATTTCTTACTATAACTAAAGCGAAAAGTTAGAATGCATAACGATAAAGTAAAATTGAAATTGATACTCTACATACGTGTGCATCCCGTATACGCACAATGATATAATCACAATAAAGATGAAATTAGTGACTCATTCGACCTTTGACAATATTCTCTTTACAATGAATCAATTCTTCCTCGTTATGCAATAACGAGAAATCGAAATCTTCTAAATCTAGCATACGTAATTTTAGCCTTTTTTTTCTCATTATAATTATTTAACTAATCATGTTATACCGGGACCATTGTAAATTCGTTCATCAATTTTCTCAAGGTTTCAATCAATCACGTCATACTTACTCAACACTAACACTTATCCATACTTGTTTAAGCCAATTTTCCATATAATTGTGATCAACGTGCGTAAAACGGATTATTTGACAAGTCACTCGTTTAACCAGTAATTATATACCGTATATGAACATTTTTATTATTTCGCATTGATTCGTTCTCTTGCTCTTTTCTGCGCTATACTTTCCATTGATTTAACATTCAAAAAGGCTTATGGAAACTGAAACTGAAACATCAATAATGACATTCGCTCAAAGCTTTTTAAACTTTTTCTGAACAATCAATTTTTTTTCGTCAGGGATTGTATAATGCTTGATTGTTTTTTCTTCGTGTCTAGCTTGTTAAGTAATATATGTACTGCCTTATTTGGAGAGACGAGTCTAGAAATTTATCTGCTTTATTGCTATTGTTCCTTAGTAAAAATTAAGAATGAGAGGTTTATCATATTATTTTACAATATTGATATTTACAATAATGAATTTACTGAAATCATATTCATATTTGACAATTGAACTGACGAATAAACATCAATTTTCAAACAATAACAGTACAAGAAAATTGTTCATTACGATACAAATTTCATCATAGCCACCATAATTTCGCTTTCGTGCGTGCGCATATTTTGACATTAACAAGCTAAAGATTATAGCATTGTTTTGCATTGTGCTTTGACTCATTTATTCCCCACAACATCCATTGATATTCAATAAATGTCCTTAACAATGGACGATAGAAGCACAGCAAGCGTTTTGATGCGTGCTGACACATGACACGTAAAAATCATCATCGTGCATCGAAAGAAACGCCCATAAACCAAAACTCGTCAAAATGCCTTATCCATTCTTCATTCCCGTTAATTCGCTTGTTTCGTCTGTTTCGTGTGTCATTTCATCGTCGTGGTAAATGTCTTTCGGACAATAGAGAAACCAAGTGTCTATTTTTCCCATGATAATACATATTCGCATGTGGATTGTACGTCGAGTGGGTGTCTGTATCACCACCGCCAACTTGCTTGCATAAAGTCACACACCATCATGCGGTATTTGCATGAAAAAAATCGCGAGAATGATTTTAAGATGTTAGGTTATTTTACGATGCAACCTTTCTTTTGTAGGAGATAATCATTGTACATTATCTTTGTTTCACTTTAGTTCTAGATGAATAAATTAAAATAGATTTAATATTAGTATTAGTGGCAATAACGTGAAGAAAAACAAGAATATATCTAAACTTTATCTGAACTTTAAGAGCTTTACCTACAAAGAGCAATTTACATGATACTCGGTTATTTTTTACTCAAAAAGGAAAATATGTTTCTTATATTCAAGCTCATAACTGAAACGACAATGTCAATATTGACCGAATAAAGTTAACATAACCCTCGACCGTTCCGCAATCGATATTAAAAATAGTAATATAAATAATTAGACAACTAGAATAGTATTATACTATTATTATGTTTGGTGGTCGGCGTGCATATGGCTCCGATATTAAACAATAATTGGTGGATTTGGTTTTTTTCGATTATAAAAATTCGAGAAAGCGTACAAAAGACATGTGGAATTTTTAGTGGGTTTTTCTTGTTTCGCAAATGAGTCTTTCTTAATCAAAATTTTTGAAAAAATATTATATAATTGCATTATTTCGCAAAAACATAATAATTACATTCTAATATCTGAAT